TGTCTCTTCTGAGGACACTATTGATTCACACTCAGCAATGACCTCATCCTCCTTAAATTCAAGGAAGGGTAAGATCATCTTATGAATCTTTTTCCCTATCTCACAACTTAAATGCAATTGAGCAATATTAGTATATAAGCGCTTAGCAATTAAACAAAAAACATTGATTTGTTTTAAAAACTTTAAATTGTCTCTTTGCAAATAAATACTTTCATCCCTAGCCCTATTTAATTCCGCCTCCTTCAGCTCAATCCACATCCTTCTCTCCTCACTTTTTGAAGACACCCTGCTGAGTTGGTCAGTTAAGTTAGAATTCGCTAAGCGAGTTTGCATGAGACTACCACTTAAGTGAGAAAATTTAAATTTTAATTCTTTTAATTCTTCTTCATAATCTGTTACTGGAACTTTAAGTGATTCAAGGATGGATTGTAACTTTTTGATCAGCCGATCGCAGTCGTTGATCTTCTCACTCACGGGCTTGGCTGCAAAACATTTGTCCTCAATCAGGTTCGGTTCCTTACTTGCACTTTCGGTTGATGCGCCAGCTGTGACTATCAAACATCTTCCAGCCGAACCTACATCCTTTGCCACATAAGCTCTTCCATGAGTGGGCTTTCTCACCTCTTCATCTTCAGAATCGGTTGACCAAACTTCAACGCCACCGAACTCGTCTTCATCTACATTCTCCTGCACAATCAAGGCATTCATAGAACTGTTAGTCACCTTCTTTTTCTTGATCTCTTCCAACTTGCGCATGTAGTACGCCTCATCATCTTCACCATCTCTTTTCTCAGCCATTTTCCTCAGCATGCAATCTTTGGCAAAGTGGTTCTTGCCGTGACAGTAATTGCAATCGAACCCTGAGTCTCCTGCAAGCTTGCTCTCCTTCTTGTCTTCGTCCTTTTGAGAAGAATTTTTCGCTTCATCCTTCACCTTCTCAGAACTGTAACTTCCCTGCCAGTTTCGGTTCTTGTTGACAGGAAATTTTCTTCGTGCAAACTTCTTTGGATTAGTGACCATCATAGCATACTCCTCGCTTGTAAGGTCACACTCAGACATATCAGACTTTTCTTCTTCTTTTGCAATGCTTTTTCCTTTTGAGACAAGGGCCAGCGATCCCACACCAGAAACTACCTTCGCTTCTTTGGTTACTACACTCTCATGGGACTTAAGTATTCCCACAAGTTTCGCTAGTGAGTAAGATTTAAACTGTTCATGCGCTTTCACGGTTGAAACCACAGCCACCCATTCTGGTCTCAGACCGTTCATGAAGGTCACCTTCTGCTCGATCAACTTTCTTTCTATTCCATGCTTGATCATCTTACTTAGGAGATGATTGAACCGATCGAAAGTTTGTATGAGTTTTTCTTCTGGTTTCTGTTCGAAAACTCCAAATTCTAATAGCAGCAAGGTTTGAATGGAGTGTTCTAGATCTTCATCGGTTGGATAAAGTTCTTTCAACCTATCCCAGATTTCTTTGGCCGTCGTGCATGAACCAACCAACCGAAAAGTGTCAGATTGCAAGGCGAATCTGATCATTCTCATGGCCTTCACATTACACAGCAACTTGTCTTTCTCATCCTGTGGCATCTTCTCTACATCCGCCACCAGCTTGTTATATTCCTTTTGGGACTTAACTGTTGTGTTCGTTCCTGAGTGAACAAACGGCCCAAGCGTGATAGCTTCCCAGATGAGATAGCCATTGTCTTCAGATCCAACCACGTAATCTTCAAAGTGATGCGCCCATACTTCATAGTCTTGAGTGTAAAGAATGGGAATCCTGGTAGTGGATCCAATGCTGTTTGAGATGTTGATGGGATTTTTTTGCGAATCTTCGTGAGACATGGTGAGCTGCTAGAATCAGACCTGTAAACTTGAGATTAGGGTTTTATCAAAAACAGAGTTGCCGTCGATATGAAGAAGACGGCTTCTATTTATACGATAAAAGCGGAAACCCTAAAGAATTCTGAATACAGAAGGAATGTGTATTGATCACACAGTCTCCTGCTCTGATACCAATTGTTGAAACAAAGTTCAATTAGGATCGATAGATTCTATGCAGACAAACAATTAAGAACGTAATTATGAACACGAGAATGGCTTTGAATGTGTCGTATGATTAATGCTTTAACCCCTCAGAACAGCTCGATTAAGAACTTCGACTGTAGAGGTGTTTAGGGTTACAAAACTAAAACGATAATAATCACGAACGTTAACCTTTTAATGCATACATGCATGCATTATTTATAGTCTAACCCTACTAGCTAATCACGGATGGACAGGCCCAATCCGGATACAAAACACAAGCCCATGACGCAACACAATTAGACTCAACAAACACCATCAAACGGATCTGATTGATACACAAGCAGATTGGGGACTTACACCCCTGAAGTCTATGGAATAGACTTGATTATGATCATTTCCAATCCCCATTATTGAACGTTGAAAGGTTCAGAAAGGCATCACATAACCACTTGTCCTTAGCATCTCAGTAGTACATAAATTTTCTTGTTGTTTCTCGATTATATAAAAAACCCTCATGTCAAAATCAAATTTATCATCCCAAAATAAAATTAACATACGCTACTTCGAACTTGAACTCACACTCAACCTCAAGCTACCCTGAGGAAAAAAATTTGAATTCAATCAAGTAAAGTTATGATAGCAGGTGTTGGGAGTCTATTAACCGAATTAAACAAATTCATCACTAAAAAACCCTAAGATCCCAAACTCCCTGCACACAGGCGCTGAGAAGCCCCATGAAATTCAAGACTGTTTATAATGAATGTAAACCAGAAATGAAAAATTTTGGAGAAATCCAGATGAAGCTAGAGAAGAAATCGTTGAATTGGATTAATAGTAAGGTTGGAGTAGGATTAGATGAAGGAAAGTACCTATATGATGATAACAAAGTTACATGGAAAAGAGGAACCCTAGCGAAGCCTTATTACGATTTTCAATACCATATTTTTGAAGAAGAAAAGAGAAGGGATGTTTTGCTTAATTTGAATACAAACGACTGAAACATGGAAAACGCAAAGACCAAAGTAAGAAGTGGACATAACATTTCAACTCATTGTCAGATCAAGGTTTATCAGGTACTATTTATCAAACTAGATATATGAATGTGTATTAGGTAACATGATTGAGGGATATCAGATGGGGAACAAGATGAATAGTACTGGGTTATGGAATAAGTGGTCAAGAAATGTCTAATGTAGCAAAGGGGTAACTAGATGACCACTTCATTTTCCCCAAAAGGACGTAATCGACCCAAAAAAAATTGTTTTGTTCCCTTATAAAGCCACAAAAATAATTTAGGGACTAAATGGACCATCCCTAAAAAGTTCTTAGGATATTTGTGTTATTTCCCCTTTTTTATATATGATTCAACATTAAATGTAACACCTGTTCCAGATATTGATTAATTTATATAAATTTTGGGGTTTTGTGCATGGACTCGGTGAGTTGGGGTGCTCCAACTCATCGAGTAGAGACTATTATGAGGACTCGATATTTGGGTTCTACTCGACGAGTAGGAGCTATAAAGAGAAACCCTAATTTTTAGGGTTTACACCCTATTTAAAGAACATAATCCGCCTCTTGTAGCCTCCCTTATCACCCTATTGGCCAGAGAAAACCCTAGTTCGACCTTGCGCCTTCTTGAGTGAGATTAAGAGCTTTTGTGAGCAATTTTGGGGTATTTGTGAAGGATTCTAGAGCTTGAAGAGGAAGGAGCAAGGAGAGAAGCAGTAGATCCGACATCTACTCTGTATTGGCCATCATCTTGAGGTATAAAGTCGTCACCTTGATCTCTAGTTGATTAGATCCCTTTTCTTGGAAGTAAATGACCATTTTTAGTGCAAAATGGAGTCAAACTCGGATCTGGACTTATCACAAGGATATGGTTCCATATCTGGACCTCTCTAGGTCTCCAATGACATAAAGTTGCTCACTTTATATAGCTTAGCCCCTTTCCATGCACAAAAACCTTGCAAGAAGCCTAGTTTCGATGTTATGGCCTTGAAGGGTCTTGCATGCACGTAAAGTTTGCAACTTTACATGGTATCTGCACTAGGGGAGTTTGGATCTAGAGTTTGGAACCTTAGATCCCACTAAAAAGGGCTGAACTTGAAAGGGACTGAAGGAACTCGTCGAGTCCCTTAGCTGACTCGACGAGTCGGGGTAAGGTTTGCCCGTTTCTGAGTTTTTTGATGAGTGCAGTGAAAGGATTAGGGTCTTGGTCTGAACGGACTGTAGTTTTCTAGTCATTTGATGAACTCGACGAGTCACTAGGGTGACTCGGCTAGTTGATGCGCGATTCAGTGGAATGGACTCGGGAGGAACTCGACGAGTTGCTAGGATGCACTCGACGAGTTGAGGTCAACATGGACTGTTCACCTTGACTGTTGACCTTGACTTTGACCAGGGTTTACTTTGAAGGTAATTATGGGATTATTACAAGTTAATCACATGTTGGTTATAGGTAGTTGAGGAGGAGCAGTGCGTGGGATACATCCGATCTTAGCTTGTCAGTTCAACCACTACTAGAAAAACAGCCTTTTACGATGTGCAATGCGTGTCGTAAAACGCTCAGACGACACGCAAATGCGTGTCAAGGAAGCCCACGACACGCTTTTGCGCGTCGTCTATTTACGACGCGCATTTATGACACACATTTACGACGCACAGTTATGACACACAATGCGTATCAAGGAAGGCCCTATCATAAAGGAAGACGACACACATTTACGTGTCGTAACCTTACGACGCGCGTGTTTATGACACGCAATGCGTATCAAGGAAGCCCCTGTCATAAATGAAGATGAAACGCATTTGCGTGTCATAAACTTCAGTAACCATTTACGATATGCATTTACGACGCGTCTTTACGATACTCATTTACGCATAATACAAAAATATGTAAACAAATATATACCAAAACAATCAATTTCATCCAATAACATCATGTCAAAAAACTGTAATACATTGATATTAAGGGGATCTAATTGTACATTGTTATTAAAAGGTTTTCCCTAACTATATAACCTAATACTACATTGCGTATCAAGGGACACCTTCTGCAAAGTAATGCTATACAAACTAAAAAGATAACAAAGATGATAAACATCAAATTACAACTAAGTAGAGTGCATCTTGCCTTTCATAATTCTTTAAGACTAATGAACCCCTGCTCCGATAATTCTTGTGACCTGATCAAATAAAAGTCAGAAAATTAATATGCAATATAATTAATAGAAGAATCAAACAAGGAATGTTAGTTGCAAATACTTGTGCCAAATCTGAGTGGTCAAATGAAGGAAAGGTGAACATCTGCAAGCTTTTTGACACCAGCCTACACACAAGCACATATACATATCAACATAAGTGCAAACAAAAATAAATAGATAATAAAAAAAATTCAGTTCATTACAATCGAATACTTGATAAATACATAAGGGAGCCTACAAATTATAATACCTCACTTTGATCATCTAAGACTGTTTCCATGAGATAAAGGTCACAAAATTTTATTATCTACAAAAGAACATCCAAAAAATATGATCTCACAGTTGCTTGATTTTGTTTAAAAAAAATTAGTGAACGCTTAAATGATTAAAGTATTGTCATAACTTATAATATATATATATATATATATATATATATATATATATATATATATATATTTCAGTGGCTGAATTGATAAAATGATGTGAATAATTTAACCAATACCTGAAGCTCCTGTGGGGTACTTTCTTCAAGTATAACTCCAAGCGATCGACAGGTTACCTATAAGAGCGAACGGTATGGGCCTCGAGGAGGAGCGACGAGCATGACGTGGCGGTCCGCGACGCCGTCGTAACGTGGGGAACACCGCCCCCCCAACTCGTTGCATCTCGTCGTCCGGTTCTCGTTGCCATGGAAACGAAATGCGACGCACAAAATTTAGCCGTTGCCATTTAGACCGTTTGATAACAGTCAATTTCAAAAAAAAAAAAAAATTACTTTTTTACCGTATATATATATATATATATATATATATATATATATATATATACTTTATTTCAAATTTTTATATACCTTTCTCTCATTCTCTCTATATCTTATACACATTTTTCATTAAAATTTCAAAAAATGGAGCAAAACCTAAACACCCCCCCTCCATCATCAAACCCAAACACAAACTCGCCTCTCGGATTTGCGGGGTATGAAAATTATTTCAACCTTTTGTCGTCTCAAGGTTCACCACAATTCTCATACCAAGGTGCCGCTTTCAATCCCGCTTCACCGCCACTGCAATTTCCCAACTCACCTTACGTTCAACAAAATCTTTTCTCTACTTTTGGTTCGATACAACAAACAACCAACCAACCATCGCCTACAACACAACCATCAGTTCAAGTTGAAGCGGGAAGTAGTAAGAAAGGGAAAGGGAAAGGAAAATCAAAAGGGAAATCAATAGCGGTGAAACAGAAAATGCAGACATTCCACAATGGTGGACACCGGAGGAGGAATACGCTTTGACGGCGGCTTGGTGTGCTACTTCAAAAAACGAACTTCGCGGAAATGGAATGAAAAAATGAGCTTATTGGGGGGCGGTGCTCGACAAGTTTCACGCTATTTTAAAGAAAAATCCGTATCGCAACAATGACATGTTGAGCAGCAAATGGGGTATGATAACTAAGCGGTGCAACAAATTCAACGGTATTTACAACCGGCTTGAGGCGCAACAACAAAGCGGAACCAACGACTTCGATTTGTTCAAATCGGCTAAGGAACAATATCGGGTCGAAATGGGTCATGTTTTCGACTTTGAAAAATCATAAGAATTGTTGCGAGCGGATCCAAAGTGGAATAAAACGCCTACATCGTCGGAGGTTCAATCCAAAAGGTCTCGCAATTCTAGCTCGGTCGACGTGTCGGACACACGGACTAACATCGACCTAAACGCCGATGACAATGAGATCCCGGATGATATCCAAGAGATATCCCCACCACGACAACCGCCCAGACGCGACAAAGCGAGGCGCGCTGCAAGACATGCGGAGGAGGTGGAGACGAGAGCAAAAGATGCGGCGGAAATGAGAGCCAAATTCGACGAGCACAATTTATTAATAAAAGAAAAAAATGAGTTGAAACGTCGTCATTTGGAGTTCCTGGAAAGGCAGGGACGGGAGAAGCAAGAACAAAAAGAGAGGGAACTAATGACACATCAGTTGTCAATTCTTCGGACAAGCGAGAAGGGTTTAGCGTCTGCTGATCTAGCGGTGCTACAAGCGATGAAGGAACAAATTAGGAAAAAATATTTGGGTTAATTAGGATTGGTGTGGTCTTAGTGGTAATTTGAATGGTATTTTAGTTATTAATTTAGGTTTAAAATTATGTTTTTTTAATTGTAATCGGAATTTTAGATTTTAAATATTATGTCTTTTTTTTGTTTTTAAAATTATATGTTTATAAAAAATATATTAGTTATTAAAAAAACACAAAAAGAAAAAAAAAACGAAGCCAAAAAAAAAAAAGTAAAAAAAACGAAATAGTAAAAAAAATTACAAAAATAAAAATATTTATTTTCAAAAAGTTGGTGTTGCATCTTGTTGCATCTTGTTGCCCATTTCCCCACTTGGTGTCATAACACCATTTGCTTATGTGGCATGTGAGGTGGCACAACTTGGTGTTGCACCTTGTTGCCCACCCAATGCTCTAACAAAATCATGATATCATTATGATTTATGTATTTAGTTGAAAAGCTTTCCAAGTTATAGCAGTTGTTTATACACCGTGACATATTCTCAGGGGCTTCAATCCCTCTTACCTTCCCATATAACCAACAACTAGTAGCTTCAAATAATTCACTTCCAAAAAGAACAGCAAAAACAACAGTGGAATCGAGCATAGTGTCCCTATGAAATGATGACACATGTAAGAACACTTGACTTTTGGAGAACCCTTGGTGGGGTTTTTGTCTATGTACATGAACTTATTTTTGGAAAACTAAAATTGAAAGCAAAGTGGAAATGCTTACTTGGATATGGAACACTTCCCATTGTCATCATATGCATCTCTTTTCACAGGATCACTCAAAACCTGATAAGCTTCACCAAGTACCTGATTATGAACAAGATTTATTCATCACATTGTATAATGATAAAGACAAGATTTTTCTATGCACTACAAATTCTTTTCAAGAAAATGCGCTACCATAAAATATATTCTCCTATAACTTTATACAATGAGAGCCCTAAATATTTTCTAATTTTATATTAAAATGTTCAAGATCCCTTTTATTTTCTAATGAAGGATCAAACACTTGCCTGAAATCTTTCAGCAGCTTGAGGATCATCTGTATTCTTATCTGGATCAACTTGGCGTGCCTGTTCCACAAACAACCTTATAGTTAATAGTTACAAAGACTAATTTATTCACAAGAAAATAAACAATTATAAAATTTGAACTTTCAAAAGGGGTGGAAGTTTGGGATTATATGTGATCAGCATGATATGAGTCATAAATAGCTTCAAACAACGATCTTGTATCAATAAAAAGGTCCCATTTAACCGAAATATAATTATTCCTTGAGTCAACCGCTTGACCAGCCCAAACGAACACCTCAGCATGTGTATCTAATATCAACATATCCTCTGGCAACAGGTCATCTTGATCAAAGTTGTAAACTTCTTCAATTTTAATTAATAATAATAATAAAAGTTGTTTTAGACATTTGTTATGCAAATATATAAGTGGAATGAGCAAAATGTATAATATTAGAACTTCATACCCACCTCAAACTTTCCAGGAAATCCACAAAGCACATAAAAAATGGTAAAAAAAAAAAAATAGTTAGAGAGATTGAATATTTAAAAGAAAAAAAGTAAAACTAAAGTGGTATTATTATATGTTTGTGAAAATGAAACCTTTAATGAGCGAGAATGCAAACAAGTGAGGAAATCTAGAAGTCTCCAGTGATACTTTGGTGCTAGTGAAACTTTGTTTCCCTCCAAATCCAAGCCAAAAAGTTGATCAGCTTTCTGTTCCTTCATTTTGGAATTTTGCTTTTACCCCATGTTGATCAAAGATAACATAAAAAAATCAACAAAAAAGTATTTGATTATTGAATTCTTTCTTTTTTCACATTAATTGTTGTCTGAATAAGAGCATTATACCTTCAAAGAATCAACAATTTTAGCTGCCCATTCTTGCTGTTCAAAAGTACTCTGAGTTCCTTTCTAGATATATACATGGGAACCAGATTGTATAACGAAGCATTCATATGAATTCAAAGATTCAGGTAGCTAAAAAAACACATATTGAAAAATTTCCTCATCAACACCAAAGTTATTATCATATCCATATCGTTCACCTCAAGAGTATGAAAAAGCATACAAAATCAAGTTGAACAGCTTTATTATTGTGCACTGCAGTTCCCAATATTCGGATAATGAAAATAGAATCTTGATTGTAGTCTATTTTGTCTGCATTGGAGCTTTTTATAGCTAGAACTCAATCCACCCTAAATTAATATCATCATTCATCGTCAAATTCCATAACAGAAGAAAAGCGATTCAATTCACAAATCAAATGAATGTTTTACGATCGTACCTTGAAAACAACCATTGGCTGGAAAATAGCGATAAATTGTGCTGATTCTTTCTCTTGATAGATACGACCTTGAACAGGTCTCGCCTTCAGTGAATTGAACATCGATGTAGTCAATTTAGCAGTTGTATTCTGATCTTCCTGTTGATATGTGATCCAATCGAAGTGCAACTACTATATAACATAATAAATATAGCCCTGACTTTGAATTTAGGGCAAAAGAAGCATACTGGTCATCCTTCTGCGCCGCTCTCATAATCTCCGGATGAGCCGCCAGTGAGAACCGCTGGCGTAGGGAGTTGGAGGTACTGGTTGGGGTGGTAGCTAGACCGGCATCTTCTCTACCACTGCTCGTCTCGGGACGTCCGGCACCAGAGGACTCCCCGGCCTCGATTCCCATTTTTATTTATTCTCCCTCTCTCTCTTTCTATCTCTCTCTCACCCATAGGGAGTTTTCAATTTCACCTTTTATTTCCACCGGAGACGCCACCTATTAAGGGTTCGTCGGAATGTGATTGTCGTCGGAATGTTATATAAGGATTTTGTAATGTTAAACAGTGAGGATGGGGTGAGAGAGCTGCAAATGGTGATGGTGGATGAAGTGTTGGTCGATAAGGCCGGTACATCGTCGTCGTGAAGGCCTGAAGAGTCGGTGTGGGTTGGAGGTAGTGGAGGTGTGAGGGGCGGAGACGAAGGATAGGAGATATTAGAGAACAGATCGAAACGAATGTAGGAGAAGAAAGAGGGGTTTAAAATTTTTGGGGATTTCACTTTCGTTCTAAGAAGAGAGACACGCCTTTCTTAAAAAAAAAAATATAAAACGACATTCACAGAGCACCCACAAGTGCCTTCCGTGTTTTTAATTTTTTTATATAAGACATTAATTTAAGGGCACGTAATAATCCGTGACCTAAATTCTTAAATTTTTCGAAGAGATGAAACTTTTTTAATGTCACTCTCTTTTGCGTAACATAAATCAATGAGTGTTGTGGTTTGCGCGTCGTAAAAGGGTCTTTTTCTTGTAGTGAACATTCGAGAGGTGAGACTTCTCACCACACCAATGGGTCTAAGGCATCAAGGCCGGCCCACTTCATGATATGTGGATTGTTGTTTGATTATGCTTTATGTTAGTGTGACATTTGCATGGAAGACCCCGGGGGTTCCCGTGGTAGTAGTATGAGACCACGTGGGGGTTCCCGTGGCATTTGGTATAAGACCTTGGAGGGTTTCCATGGCATCCTAGTATATACGTATGTGTAGTTTGCATTATTTGTTGCTTGGTAGTAAAGGCCATGTGGGGGTTCCCATGACAGGCAGTTAAGACCACGTGGGGGTTCCAGTGGCACTAGGTGTAAGACCCTGGAGGGTTTCCATGGCTTCCTTATATATTGTATGCATGGCTTATGTGATGTATGTAGGTTTTATAGCTAATATGATATGTGTTATGTGGATTGTGTGTGGGGTATGCTCTGGGGGACTCACTAAGCATTAACTTACAGTTTTTGGATTTGCTTCAGGTACATCTGAGCCCAAGGGCAATGGCAAGGCTTGATGGCGCGGCGTCCATTCTCTCTCAGGCGTTTTATGGGAAACTTTGATGTTTTTAAATAAAATTGTAGTTGATATGAATTTTGAAGACAATTGTATTTGGATTTCATGGTTAATGGAAAAGTGTTTTGGCTAATCAAAAATGAAAATTTTCTTTTGAAAAACTGGGTTGTTACAATCAAGACTATTTATCTAGAAATCGAAAAAACTTTATTCTCAAGTGATTTGGGCTTTATCTGTTGAAATTTCAAGAAAAACTTTATGGGTTTGATAGACCATCCCTACAAATAAGAAATTGAAAAACCAATTACATATTTTTATTATATTTATTTTATAAAACAAAAAACTCACATGTGATGGTATATATGAAACACAATGCAAGGTTAAGAGTTGGAGAACCTTCTACAATGTCTTTAGATGTTAAATATCTCTGACAACCCGTCCTCTAAACGTGTTTAAGAACTAAATTTTCTTTCTTTTTAAAGGATTTCTGACAATGAAAGTTGATGGATTACTATGTGAGGTGGAAGAATATTTAAGAGGTAAGCATAAGCCTCTCCATCCTATACAAATTGAATATTGACCCCTACATTAACCTCCCTAATATTAAATGAAATAGATTATAGACCCCATTATAATTTAAGAGACACATTTAGAGTCAATTGTCAATCTAGACTAGTCGTCGGCGGAGGCGCGGATGGTAGGGGAATGCCCTTTTTTGATTTTTTAAAAACGGTATTGAATGTATTGACCACAATGTTAATACATCAGCAGTAGGGGAATACCATATCATCCCATTATTTTCATTGAACAAGTAAGACATAAGGAGAAGGTCTACACAAGTACAAAAATAACCTACGGTCACACTTTCCAAAAAACTACCTGTCACACTTATTATTAAAAGTGTGGCCAAAGGTCATTAAAAAAATTTACAAACTGTTTTTCGATACATTTAAATTAGTTTGTGTGGCCGTTGTATAGATAATCAAAACTTTAACCAAACTTAATTATACCAAATGTGACAAATATTAGTCACACTCGAACATTGAGGCCATAGGTCACAATCAGCTACAGGTATCGATTAAGATTGTCATACTTTTTTATAAGAGACAATAGATAAACATATTGTGACATGAGGCAGTTGTATGTGTGTCTATAACCTGGTGCCTTTTTAGACACATAACAGACAAAGTAGGTAAAAGGTGATACATATGGTCACACTAAATATTTGTGTGTCCATAGGGCGGTTCAGTACTAGTTGTACTTAGTTAACGCAAGAAAAGAAAACAAGTTAGTATTGGTTGTTTATGGTCATGTACCTTTTTTTATGTGTGTCAAAATATGATGAATTGGCTTTGAGAAAAACAAATATTGTGAGTGTAGGTAGCATTTAGTTATGATTACAGCTATTATATGTGTCTATATGTAAATATAGTTATAAAAGAACAATAATGTCTTATCAGTATAATTAGGGGTCGTTCATTGAATATGTTGCTATAATTATGTAATGTTCATTCTGGTTGTACTATTGTATTTGTAAGTTTAAAGAATAGTCTTCATAAAATGAAAATTTGTTGATGTTAAACTGAAATTGTTTTCCGGTTAAGTTATTATACAACAAAATGACAATTTTAGACTTTTTGGAAGACTCATAAATTTGACCATTTTTTTCTTTGATATCATTTGGCAAAATAAAAAATCAACAAAAAGGTCAATCATGCCATTTTAAAAAAGTACATTGCTTTTTTGCAATTAATGGGTTGTATAAATTAATGAAAAAAATTGAATGGTAGTTTTGTAAAGTTACCTCAACAGAAACAATTTCTGAAAAAACCAAAAAAAAAAAACAAAAACAAATAACAATAGTTGTATTGAATAAGAGTTATAAGAAATGACCAAATTGCCCTTTTTGTCATCTGTTCTTTTAATTGCACCAGATCATACACCATTAAAAAATGAAAAGAATACAAGTTTCTTTAACAGAAAAGTATGATAAATATATGAAAAGAATACAACTTTGTCTAATATTGCATAACGAAAGTACATTGCTATAATATGCAGTTTATGTTATAACATGTCATCCACCATTACAGTAAAAAACTAAAAAAACTAACTTTGTGTTATAACAATATTGCACCAGAAAAGTTTGATGGTATAATATGGTAAAAAGATATTAAGGAAAGTACATCGTCATTTTTTGTCATTTTCTTATTCTCCACGTGACGCTAGGATCAAGGTTTTTGCCTTTCCCTTCTACAAAAAAAAATTAAGATCATTATATGTTAAAAGAAGGAAAAATAGTATCGCTAAAAATGTAATTCATGACATTAAGAAACACATACCGTACATATAAGAATACCATGACAATCAGTATAAAAATAATCATTTTCCTTCTGCAAGTCAACTGTGTCTACACGTGACAATATATTATCATTATGAGGAACTAAATTACTAAATTCTTCATCTACATCCTCATATGTATCTCTGTAATTCTTGCGAGGTGTGTTGAAGACAATAGACATTTTTTGATCGAGCGGGTTTGTCACGTAAAATACTTGTTGTGCTTGTGAGGCCAATATGAAGGGATCACCTTTATGGCCTAATCTTTTTAGTTCAACTAGTGTGTACCCCAATTTATCCTTTTTACCCCATTTCTACTGTCAACCTAGTCACACATGAAAATTGGAATTTATTTAAAATGATAATGTAGTACCCATATCTCTTGTAAAAGACCATAATAAGTGTTTTTGGCATATGTTACAACTTCTTTACTGATCTGTGTGTCAGTTCTAACGACACTAACCCCACTGTTTTGGTAAACTTTACCTTCACGAGCTTTTGTACGAAAAGTATATCCATTAGTAGCATATACATCGTATTTAATAATGTTCTTATTGGGTCCATGTGAAATCCATCTCATTGTCTCTGTTCTACTTTCTCTACAGGCCCCTAACTCTCTCTCTACCTGAATAGTAATTAGATTATGAATATAAGATATAAGGAAATACATAACAAAGAACATAACATATATGAAAACAATATACCTCCTTTCGTAACCAATGACCAAATGTATTACTGTGCTCTTGCTCTAGCTGTGCCTTTCGTTTAGTAGGGTGTTGATGTTGCAAAAAATTCCATGTGTCGTCTGTCAATACGTTAATGTTAATATTATAAAAAAAACATACATGTAAAAAAAACTTACTTGATATACGGGAGTACTTCATTTGTATTTTGCAATACAAAGAAATGTGCTTTGCTGAATAGTTCTGCAGAGACTTCTACCGATTTAGCAGCTGATAGAGGAGTACTGTCCATAATAGAACTACTATCTACACCTTTCTGAATTCCACATGTGCTATGATTGTCAGGTGGAATACCAGCAGTATCCATCTTTTTGAGGAATTCACTAAAAAACTCAATCGTCTCTTTAGCAACATTCTCTTATGCAATGCATCCTTCTGGTCTATTTTTGTTTCGCACGTGCCCCTTAATAACCTTCATAAATCTTTCGAACGGGTACATTCATCTAAAGAATATTGGACCGTATAATTTTACTTCCCTAGTTAGATGAACGGTTAAATGAATCGTCACATCAAAAAATGATGGTGGAAAGTGCTTCTCAAGAAGGCATAAGGTTACACATAACTCCTCTTGCAACTTATCGAGCTCATCCAGTTTGATTTCTTTGCTACATATTGTTTTGAAAAAGAAACAAAACCTTGTAATAGCAACTCTGGTGGGTGGATGCATAATAGATCGAATTGCTATGGGCAAAAATTGTTGCATGAGCATGTGATAGTCATGGCATGTGATAGTCATGTGATTTTAGTCCGATCAACTTCCTATCCTTCA